AAAACTTCTACCGGAATTATATTCTACCGTGGAAAATGCAAAGCGAGATTTGCAACGTCCGCATGCAAATTAGGAAGGAATTAAAATAATATTCCCGAACGGAGAATATTAACAAGGAGAATCAGACGTCGTCGTGTTTAGTACGCTATTTGCGTCGAAGAAACTGACGCGAGATCAAATTCTCATTAACGAATATCAGACAAAATTTGAACAAAACTTTTCACGATGTAATATATCTCTCGTGTAATTTGTCTAAAAATATCGTCAATAATTTTTGCCTTCATATATCGTAAAACTCGATATATCGTAACTTTTGAACACTGCGCTCTATATAGAATACTCGAATTAATAAAATACGATACACATTTTCATAAATTTCATGAGGAACGTGTTTGACGCGATATATAGACACGGAAGCTACGCGGAAAAGGTCGAGAACCTATTGTCGAGAGGGAGCTTCCTTTTTACAACCTCTCGCTCGCTCGCTTCTTCCTTCCTTCCTTCCTTCCTGCTCGCTCGCAGTCTCCCGTTCCAGCGACCCAGGTCTCTACCCTCTTTTCACGACTCCGTTCCACCCACACACACGTCGTCATCGTCGTCGGTCGTCGTCGTCGCCGCGACGCCCGCCGCCGTCTGAGCGTCTCCCGACGGCGATGACCCACTTCGGCGAGGACACGCATCGCCATTCAAGGCTGCCGGCTGATAAGAAACGGGACGTGCGCTGCATCTCCGAACTCCGCACGCCCACGCAACAAACGTCGCTCTTTTTTTTTTTTTTTTCGTTGTTCTTTGTGTTGCATACGCGCGCGTCGCGCACAAAGAAGCAGCGTCGTCCTCTTCGAAACCATAAATTATCCGAACTACAAAGCGCGGAAGTGTGTAACGAATCTTATACAGAGCCGGGAACATCTCTCTTTTCCAAAGGGAATAGCTTTTTATTGTCAGCGGCACACAAGACGAGCGAGATTCCTGGGGAGTTTCCACGCGCGTTATCCCCGGGAAATCGATCGCCGTGTCGCCGGCTGCAACGACGAGCCACCGCGGATCAAGGAATGGAGATCACGTTCTCGCGATGCGCGCGAGGAAACAACAACGCGGCGAGAATTTCCGCACAACCTCGCGACGAGACACGCAGCTCGACGAGATTCGCATCGTCGGCGACCCGATCGTCAAACTGCAGGGTGCAGCTGCGACCGCAGCAGCACCAACACGGTCGTGTAACAATCGTCACGTCGAGCGAAACTCCGCGGCGAGTTTCCACTGTGTGCCACGAGTAACTGCGCGATCAATATTCCGTATGCGAGAACACACACTCGGGCGAAGGCCCGAAGCACGTGTACACGCGCGTTTGTTTTCTGCTATGCCCCTGGAGCCTTGCACGCTTGCTCGCGCATCGTTGGAGGAATATCCCTTCATGCGAGCTCGAACAGGCCAAAGGACGCAAAGAAGCGAACGTGTGTTTTCTTGTTGTTTTTTTTTTTCGCGCGCGCGTCGTCTTCTTAACTTTCACAAAGATACCGATGTGTGTGTTCTAAAGATACCATTCCAATCAACTGAGATTCTCCCTGTGTTTCGCTCGCGAAATTATTCAATCCTCCTCTAATTTTCCTACGTCGCCTGCTTTCTGTTTCCGCGTGCCTCGAAATTACACGCGGTTTCCTGTTACACACACGCCGGTATTCGAAAAGGAATGTCAGACACGTACTAGCCAAGCGAAATGGAAGTTACGGCGTTATATTATTATTCTGAGAGAGAGTGCTATTTATATTTTTCTAAGAATGAAGGCTCTCTTCCCGTACGTGTCTTTTCCAGAATGAAGTCTCGTGCGCCTTGTTGCCCCACGGGAGACCACGTCGTCGGCGCTCGAGTGTGGAATTACGCCGGAGCGGAGATTTGAGGAGAAACGGAAGGAAGGCTAGAGCCCGTGAAGCTTCCTTCACGAGTCTCGGTATCAACGGCAAGAGAGAGAGAGAGAGAGAGAGAGAGAGAAAGAGACTCGGTCTAGGTGCGCCGCGACACGTGCGCAGGAGCAGAAATCCGGAAAATCGATCGATCCGCGCGAGAAAGTTGGACGAAGCGGAAAGACGCTCCGCGAGTTGCAATCGCACGCGACAAGAACAGAAGAAACGGGATGAAAAGTTGTAGAATCTCTCGTCGTCTTAAATTCTGAGACGTAATTCCGAATTGATGCTTCGAGTTTTTCTCTTGAGCAATATCCAGACCGACACTGACACTGGTGTTGATAAATATTTTGTTAATTGGCGATCTCGATAGAATTTTCGTTAACGGCGCTAAAAAAGTGCGGAAAAAAATCGCGGAATTCGGAAATTCAATTGCGTCAGATTCCTACAATTTCACGCATGTGTGCGTGCGTATCTATGTGGCATTTAATTATCGAACAGCGACTTAAAAACTCTCAAATGAGAAAGAGAAAGAGAGAGAGAGAGAGAGAGAAAGGAGAGGTCTCTTGACCCCGATCGCATTTGGCAGAAACGAGATGGACTTCAATAAGATACTCCGGCGCATTTCCCGGCGCGATCGAAACTTGACCTTGGCTGCCCCGGTAGCACAACGCACTCGTTCCGCTAATCGCGTTCTAGAGAAATAAACGAGATTAGCGAACGGCACAGTCCGATTTCGATCGTATCTTGATAGCTCGACGTTCCGAGCGCGAAATAATCGAATAGGCTAGAAACTGAACTTGGTTTTGTGCAATCCGCGTCGCTCTTTCTGTCTGGCATCGAAAACCAAAACCCGCGCGCGGTCGAGTGATACCTACCTACATATGTACATAAAACGCAAATATAGTATAGAACTCGTCGCGCCACTCTCGAATCGTCGCATTCAAGGTCGGGGGTATATTAATAAGCGGTGGAGCTCTTCGCGGCATTGCGATACTCGGAGACCAAACAATGATTTCTCATTGTCCTGTGTGTGTGATCGATCAGCTTCTCGCCGAGCTATAAGACAGCTTAGAAAGTATCACTTATTCAAGCCAACTTACAAGGTCCGTCGTTCAGGTACTTTCGAGTACCTGTGCGACTTCGTACACAATTATATTCCGAATCACATGCGATTTCGCGTTTTAACGACACAACGCGTTGAGCATTTTCAGCCGAACCGCGTGAGGAAGACCGACCGCTTGTACGACGGTCGCTTCGACGAAACTCGACGTTAATTTTATTAACGTCTTTCGTAAGGAACGAAGAAAAACAAAACGAACGTTACTCTCGTGTACTCGCGTGTTATCTCATTTAAGTCTAGTAATTGTAAGTCATTCATTTGAATTGCCGCATTTCCGAGTATCGAGTGACGAGCAAGCATTGTGGTCGCGTATCTGACGCGTAAAATCGCACACAAATCAATAATATACTTAATATCAATATCGCGTAATGTAACATCGAATTATTAGTAACGTCACCAATCGGATTACCCACGCGCGCGCGACGAGGATTTAATTAATTTTCAATGATTATCGGCGCGGGGAAAATTTATATAGCGAGGGAAAAGTACAGACTAATCAATTAAATCGGGGTTCATCGATTCGATTGGACGTGTCGATTCAATTCGCCATCGTTTTCAACTTGCCTTTTGCCCTCCCCCTCCGGTCTCCGCTCCACCCGCGTTGACTTTATACGCGCGCGAACGTCAGTATAATAATGATGCGTGACGCGATTTCGATATTGCGTTTCGTTTTGCGATTTAATTTTCTCCGCTCGATCGATACTTCGCGGCGCTCCGCGATACCAAGCGCTTGCTATAAATTTACGACGTTCGGATGTAACGCGCTTTGTTTAATTATCTCCGTCTCGCATTGCAGGCTCCGTAAGCAAACAATTAACTCCATTGGCAAATTACAGTCGCGCAAAACCTCCTCCTCTGTAATCCCGAGTCATTAGGGCGACAATATGACCGGACGTATCAAATTAACATATCGCAAATGATATGATTAATACGAAATTTAAATCGCTTTGTGTTTTCTTCTTCGTTTTTTTTTTTCTGTCTCGTGAAATGCCACAAAGTGGCACAATGTTGGCTCATTTTCAGTTATTATTATTCATACACCCGGTGATTTCGTAGCACGATAATGTCGGTGATCCCCTTACAATTTAACGGTAATTTGATAATCACGCATTGTTCCGCGACTGTTCCGCGCAATATCTTCCGCATCGTCGCAGTGGATATACTTTATATAAGATTACATAATCGAACAACATTGTTTGGGTAAATGACGTTCATTTGTATTAAGAATTGTCAAATACGCGTGGATGGGAAAATACAAATAATTTTCATACGAGATAAATGCTCAGAGAAATTCTTCAAACTTAACTCCGTCTCTGACGATAAATGGCATTGAAACATAAGTTCGCGCAGTGAACCAAATAAGCGCCCGTTGCTCTGCGGGTTAAGGTTTCAATAGAGTGCTGTTAATTATGAGCTATTAAGAGCTTCCCGTTGTTCGGCCGAAAAACAAAAGATTATATTTGTCGCGCGACAAAGACAGTGTTCTGCGATTTCTCTCTCTCTCTCTCTCTCTCTCTCTCTCTCTGTGGAAATCAACTTGCTCTTTCAATATTATATGATTTCTAATTCATGATTCCGTAACAAAGAATCCTGTTTAAAATTGTCATCATTCAATAAAGTATCTAAATAAAAATATGTAAATAAAAATTTCTCATGAAAAAAATGAAACTTTTTCTCACGATTAAAACATCTTCTTCATTAAAATACACAAATTAACGAACGAGATTTCCGTGAACGTGAAAAATTCGCGAACACCGCGAATACACGCGCAGGATGCATCCAAGGTTGCGTATCGCGAAACGTAATTCCGTGTTTGCACGCTTCCGTTAAGATCCGAAAATTAGCGGTAGATCAGTCGGTGACTTAACGACGATGAGCAGCAATCACTCGGCGAAGGATATGACATTAACCCTCTGTTGAACACGCCCACATCCCGTGGCCGCGGCTTTATAAAAACTGCGCGTGACCGTCGCGGACGATACATTTTGTCGTAGAAAAGTGAACGCACAACGAGACATAAACGAGAAGCGAGATGCACGTGTCTGTGATCCTCGGCGTGGTGTTGCTGCAGGCGGTGCTTTACGTGTCCGCTGCGGTAAGCCTTTCATTAGAAAAAAAAAAGAAAAAAAAAAATCTAACTTTCGATAAACGCAGAGAATAGATTTCGTTTCGCTTTCATGCGAATAACAATCGACGAATGTAGTGGCCTATGCTATTAACACACGTCATCACGAGTGTGCACGCTTATACATACATTAGTGATGTGCGATTAGAGAACGCGTGCGCGCGCGAATGTTGTACATACATCCGCGACTTATCGAATGGTGCTAAAGTCCGACACGCGAGGGTCGGTACCTCATTGCGATGCGCGCTCGTAATATAAATTCTGATTTTGCCTAGCCGCCTGACTGGGTGCCTCCGGAAATGTTGGAGATGGTTCAATCTGACAAGGAACGGTGCATGGCCGAGCACGGAACGACTCAAGGTGAGCGTCTTGGTGCGATTAATAGTGCAATCAACATTTGGCCAGTAATCCCGCGAACCGCGACACGCCGTTTTCTTAATTAATTAAACTCTTGCACTCGGTGATGCGAAGAGAGAGAGAGAGAGAGAGAGAGACGTAATTGTAAACGCACACGCACAACAAATCTTTCTTAAATTTATTTTCTATATTTTTTCAGATCTTGTTTTTTTTCACGTCGCTCTTGATCTTGTTGAGTATTTGAAATATTTGCAACAAAAAAAAAAAACAAACAAAAAATAGGAGAAAAATAAAAACTGGAATTTGTTAATTTATTAACTGTAAAACCCACGGACGAGAGTTTAACATAGAGAGAATTTTATCATGTATATTTTGCTGGAGCTTCAATCAAAAATATTACGCGAATTCGAGAATATATTACAAATTATTACGAGAAGAGAGATTACGTCCCGTTTATGTATCGATACCGAAATTAACATCTCGTTGCATTTATGATGATGTTAAATATTTTCATGTTGCGATGCAGCGCTCATCGATGAGGTTAACGACGGGAAACTCACGGAAGACCGGAGCATAACGTGCTACATGAATTGTCTCCTCGATGCGTTCAGTTTGGTAATATTTCTTTGATTATGTTTTTTGCAAAAAAAACTATCTTGTCTGACGCGAGTGGTCACAATCGAAGTTTATGTCAAAAAAAATAAACAAACCACAGGTTGACGAGGAGGGTAACTTGGAAGCTGAGATGTTGATAAGCGTCATACCAGCGGAATTTCAAGAGATCGGTAACAAGATCTTGAACAAATGCGCTCATCAGGGTGAGTAGCGAAATTTTTACATCGAACATAAACGACATAAATTTGAATTTTTCTACTTTATTTTAAAATTGAATCAATGAATTCTAGACGGCACTGATCCGTGCGACAAAATATACAAAGTGGCCAAATGTGTCCAAGCAACAGTACCAGAAGTAAGTAATTTGTTATTTGTCGAGATATAACGCGATGTCTTAACGCGCGCGAAGTCGTTAAAAGAAATTTTTGTTTAGATAGAAATTTCTCTCGTTCTCGTGAGATTAACGCTTGAACTTTTTCTTGAATGTTTTCCTGTTGCAAATAACACGTTCAAATGTATCGTTGCAGCTGTGGTTCATGGTTTAATTCAACGCATGGGAGGAATTCTCTGCGCGCGATCACAACGTAACCTAATTTACGTAACCTAATTTACGTAAACGGAAACAATGTCATTTGTGTAACAATAATAGTAGGTAATCATATAATGAATACATTAATGTGTGTGTTCATTATGTGCGAATAAATTTGGTAGAAAATGTTGAAATATTGGATGAACTTATATATAAATGTGCATTAAAATTGTATCAGATCCGTGACAGTAAACAATAGAGAGAACCGAGAAACGATAAAGATCGATGACTAACGACGGTAACAAGCTTAATTTATGAATTCATGTTTAATTAAATTAAATTAAACAATTTTGTATAACGAAATCTCCTTTTTGATTCCATTTAAGTTTCTTCAACGTTCACGAAACTTGTGTAAAATAAAGTTGGGCTATGTCCATTAATTAAGTAGAACCGGAGTTGTATATAATACATATACATGTATATATTATGTAATATATGCACGTATACACACACATGCAGAATAACTTCGTGTAGTTAATTAAGTGAAGCAGCGAAAAAAAAAACGTAAAGTAAAACATTACACAAAGTCTATTCAAACTTTTCTCAATTCAATTTCGTACTTTCCTTGTGATACTTCGAGTTATAAGTGAACGATTCGATGTGTAAAAGAAAAGGATGTAATGAGAGCTCTTATACGTATAATTGCGAGCTCCAATTATTCGCGTTGTTTAAACACAAACTCGATTTGACAAATTAAACGAATTCAGCTTAACATCAAATTCTTCATTTATGCATAGAAGAGAACGAAAGAGAGAAAGAAAAACAGAAAATGCTACTTTTACATAATGGTGGACTACTTCTCTAAATAGGATATAAAGTGATTGTTTACGCGCAAGCGCAACTATAATTACGGCTCTGAATCAAGCAAAAATTACATATGTTTTTCTATACTTTTTGTGATTGCACAGTTGCTGCGTATAGCGCACGAGACAAATATTGCATAATGTTTTCGTTTGGATCTAACAACGTCGCATAATTCTCCCCGTGTGTGCGCACGGGAGAAAAACCTCATTCGGAAAATTTAATCGTTATTCCGGATAATAAGCAGCTGCGGCGAGGAAAATATCGGAGAGATGCGTTTTTGCTTTTTAGCTTGAAAATAACGTCGGAAAGTAGAGCTTATTTTTCTCTTTCCATTTTTTTTTTTTTTTTTACTCTCGACGAGAAACAAAGTGAATTTGCCATATATAAATTAGTTTGCTAATAAAACCCGTTAAAAGTTAACGGGGCTGCTCTTGAAACTTGACGATCAATTTACATCCACGTTAAAACTTTTGGAAATTTCTATCTCTTAATCTTCACATCAAGTTTGTGACTTTGTCTTAAGTCACTAATTCCTTCGAGAGATAGAGAGAAAGAGAGAGAGAGAGAGAGAGAGAGAGAGAGAGAGAGAGAGAAAGAGAGAGAGAGAGAGAGTGCATGCTTAGAAATCATACACGAATGAAATTTATTAGTAAGTTTCCGGTCACATTTCCATAAAATCATTGTCTACGCAAGATTTTCCGCATCTCTCAGTGTCTCTGAATAAAAGCTGCTTTTAACTTACTACGCAGATTAAATATGCGTAAATATATATTCATTTAAGCCGCAAGACGAAAACGTCAGACGCGCGGTAAAATAAATATGAATAATTTTCTTTCCAGACGAAGCGATTGTGAAACAATATTATCTCTCCGGAAATACATTTATCTCGGTTTGTGACAATGTGTCATTTGTATTACATTAAGTCAATTACAATGTATATTGTCAATTTTACTTTGTTTTAAAAAGCGCTAACTCTACTCTCTTTGATCGCCACTGTGCAGATCTTAACTTAATTACCAATTACTTAATTACTGATATGAAAAAAAAAAAAAAAACTACACAATATTATACTACGCAACATCGGTGTAAAAAAAATATCTCTAATTCGTGCTACTGCATACGTGCCATGCAATTGAATTACTATGTGCAAGAGGATATTGCAGAAAAAGAGAGATCACTACACAATGGAAAAAAAAAAAAAAAAAAAAAAAAAANAAAAAAAAAAAAAAAAAAAAAAAAACCACAAAAAAGAACGATCGCGAAAATGAACAGCGAAACGTATCATCCGAACAAAACAAAGGTTGCAAATCAAACCTGGAACCTAGTGCGAAACAAAGCGATAACAAAAAGTGCTTCGCGATGCGAAACGACTCTTGAAAAATACGGAGAAAAGTCTTTCATCATGTGGTCACGTCAAGAGGAAGAAGCTTTTACTCGGAAAACTTCGAAATAAGAACTTCGGTATTCGGTCAGAAATAGATTTTGTTTAAAAGAGAAAGTCTTTCTTCTCGTAATTAAAAAGACCGAACTTTGAGATTAATTATACGAAATTTCCGGCAATAATAAAAAATCAACTTCTTTAATTATATCGAAATTTTTAAGTAAATTCGAGACAACGGTAGTGTAGATCGGAAGAAATTTTCTCCGTTGAAGCGGAACGCACAAATCGTGATTCCGGAAGGTATTGCGCGAGAAATTAATGGGGAGCGAACAACAACAACAACAACAGCAAGAAGAAGAAGAAGAATAGGTGCGACAAGACACTTCGTTCCGGAAGGTACAGACCTTAAGGTTGATCGAGTGTATCGTGCCGGTATGCGGCGACGAGTGGTCTTTTGTGTTGCTGCCGCAAGTGACATTGTTGTTTACGTTCGGCAGCGAGCCGCCCGCTCTGAACTGATTCCCTAGGTTAATGTGCAGGTGCTTGCTGCTGGACTGCGGTGGACTGGCGCCGGCACTCTTGACGGACAGCGGGGTCTCCGGTACGCCGGATCCCGTGGGACTGGCACCCACCGAGCTGCTCGCCGACGCCACCTGTGCAGGTCCCCACAGTCATTCACAACCATGAATGGCCACACCACGACGAAACGTATAAATATCGTATAAAAACGATCTCCCTGTGTGTAGCTACCCGCTTAGCTCCGACCACCCCTCGGATTAACGTCTTCAACGAGAACTCAAAATGTTTACCGACCGCATCACAATTTTTCCGGACATTTGTGACGGTTTTGGATTTTTTTTTTCCTCCCTACAAAGTAAGTCACAAATTCAATCCGGAGAATTAACAGCTCGTGATATTTCTCATCGGCCTTTTGCCTTGCGTGTTGTATTTTACAATATATATATTTTGTTTTGCCGGTTTCAATGTAAACCAGGCAATTTCGCAATTAGCGGATTTACTTTCGACATCGTCGCGCGATTACAGCCTCTCGTACGTCGAATTAATTGTATCGGTTTCCGAGATTTTCGATTAAATCTCTAAACTTCGCAATTGTACGCGACCCGCGGCGTAGTAATCGGTCTTTCTACGGACGCTCCGATAAACAGGTTCTTATCTCCGGATTCCATTCTCCAACTGCCGATTCGAACGGTACACTCTCTCGAGCGAGCGAGCGAGCGAGCGAGCGTGTATAGCTGCCGGCTCGATATAAATTTGGATAGCGCGCGCGAAGCGTTTTCATTTGTGTGTACGGAGAGAGACACTGGAACTTGGCTCGGTTGGTGGACGTGGCGAGATAAAAAGCTCAAGAGTTTTGACATTCGAACGCAATGTGACGCTTCGTGTGTGTCACAATTAAAATTTTAAATTCACACACACAACGAGATGTCTCTCTTTCTCTCTCTCTCTCTCTCTCTCAAAAAAAACATTTTAAAACATCGCGTTTCACGCGTGTATAAAAAAAACCAATGTGAAAAACCAATTTTGTTCTCGCTTGAACAATATTTTGTCAGCGCGCATTTGAATTCCGTATTAAATAATCCCGTGTGACGCTTTTATCTTTTTGGTGCGATATTGGAAACCGTAATCCCGGGTGCTCCGGTTTCGACCGCGGAGCAATCGAAAGTGCATCGCAATTGTTTCTAACTGGCTACGAGATTATATACTCGGAATAACTATTCAAATCTCATTGATATAAAATAAATAAAAAAAAAAAACTCGCATATAATTTGCAAAATACTTAACTACCGCGCGTTGCATTGAAAAATCTCATTCGAGAGGTGCGTATGAAAATAAAACAACAAAAACATTCTCAATCGATCGATCGCGCTTTGTCGTGTCAATTTCAAATAGCGCACTGATTGGCGCGCGAGATATCGGGCGAAAGGTTAATTCGTCGCATAATCGCGCTCCGTTGCCTTCCAGCCGATGACCCGGTCTCGTCATCGCGCGCGCGGATGCGCTCATTGTGTTGGATGCACGCCGCGTCGGTCGCGTCCGGATCGACGCACGTCTCTCTCCCGTTTCGAAAGGCGCGTCGTCGCGTCGTCAGGCTTTCCTCTTCGCGCGAAAATCATGCAACATATCGCGCGACGCATACATATATGTGTACATATACGCATGCATGCACAACACCGTATAACGCCGATACAGGCGGGTCGCGGCGCGCGATGCAGTTGCCGCGCTCCCAACACGAACACACATACGCAATCGCGCGCGCTCTCGCTCCATTCCGCGGAACGCACAACCCGGCTCTCACACGCGCATATAAAAACACAGAGCAAGAGAGAAAGAGAGAGAAAGAAAGAGACCCGGTGGTAACAAGAAAAAAGATAGAGATTAAATGGAGAACGAGATACACACACACATATATATACGTACATGTACACAGGTTGAGGAAGGGACAATCGGAGTCGCGAGGCCAGGGAAAGAGGAGGGGGAGGGGAGAACACTCGTTGTTTACGTTCTAACATCTGAGCCGAGGAAGGTGCACGACGGGTCACGGCGCGACACGGCCATCCGATCCTCCCGACCAAGCCAAGGACCTACTGGTATTTCCTTACTCTGCTAGTGACGTCCGAAACCTCCTTCATGATCGCCTCGAACGCTGCCACGTCCTGCGCCTCCTTCTGGTTCAGCAGCGCGATCTTTTCACTGAATTTCCGTGGGTTCGCCATGATGGCCTCGCGGCACTAGTTTTTCGCGGACACTCGCGGAACCCGGAGCACCCACCACTACTACCACCACCACCACCACCGCCGCCACCACCACCACCACCACCACCGTCGTCGTCGTCGGTGCCGCGGCCGCGCCACCAGACAATCAGCACGAACCACCACCAAACCACCACCGTCGTCGGTGCTCACTCGCCGCCCCCCCTCGCGGTTTCTTCTCTTTTTCTTGCCGTTCGTCGTCCCGAGCGGACGACGCACCAACCCCCGTTCGCGGGATCTCGCACGGACGACAACAAACAACGCGCAACGGACCCACCGGATCCGTTGTTGGTGCGCCTCCTTGATGGCACTGGTGAACACTGATATGCAAGATCATGCGGCGCGGCGCGCCACGCGTTGTATTGCGCAGGAGCGGCGATTTCGAGGTCCGATTGGTCGCCGCCAATGATCGCAGCATGGTGCAGAACCGGTCGCGTCCGCAATAAAAAGTCTAGTGAGCTTTCTTACTCAAGAATGAATATATATGTGTAACAACGAACTAAATAAAATTTCCTAGTTGTCTTAGTTATGCAATGCACACCCTGCTTCATCTTAAAGTATCCAATCAAAACGCTTCTTTCCTATTCGAACGATGAATTCACCAGAAGATACAAATTTTTTTTATCCTAAGCAGGAATATTGGCTGCAATGCGATTGTGTCAATGACAAGTCGCATCGTACAGAAATAACTTCTTTCTCTGTTTATTTATATACAGCGATTTTTATGCATTTTGCACATAATAAATAAAACATTGAATGGACAAGTATGACATATAATAAATTTACGCACAGTATACATACTTTTTCTAAATATTTTTTTGTCATTTGTAAACTGGTTTTGACAAGTGGAAAAATTTTTTCTTGAAGGAAAAATAAACAAAGTTTCGCATCATGTATTTGTTCTAATTTTTCCTCAATGTTTCCTCTTCTCTCCAAAGATCAGTCGCGAGAAGTGATGCAACTGACAACTTCAAGAAAATCGCAGCGTTTATAAGACACAAGTTGTGCGAAACAATAAGAACTAAAGAATAGATGTAATTGCACATTTGTAATAAAAATGGCAAAAATTGACGAAAACATGTACTTGGAGAACATTCCATCGACGATATACAACGAATTGATTTACGAATTAAATAAAGATTCAAATTGGCAAGTACTGGCATGTTATGTGGCTGAACAACTTGGATTACAATGGTAATGAAAAATCAAAATTATACTTGTTTTTTAATTAACACAAATATGTCTATGAATGTTCTTTAAAATATATTGTTCTACGTGTTTGCATGTGTACAGGAACTTGTGGCAACAATTATTAGAGCAAAGTAATAATGTAAATAAAACACCAGCAGCCAACCTGTTGTTCGAATTAAATATAAAAATGTGCACAGTTGGAGTGTTATGTAAATTTCTTAGAGAGTGCGAGCTTAATCACGTTTTATCTGTTTTATATTATCCAGGTACATGTATTTAATTATATATTTTCTGTTTTAATTCGTAATTATGTATTGGTAAAATGACTCAAAAAATTTTAAAATTTAAATAAAATTATAATCAAATAAAAATTATTACAGAGCCTTTAGTAATTATCAAAGATTTGTCTGAAAATATGGAAAATAACTCTTGTGAAATATCCATTGGCCAACGCCTTCATCTTTCTTGCAAAGCCACCGGTATACCACCACCGAGTTATCTATGGTATCACAATAACGTCAAACTTCCAGAACAGCAAAGTCAGGAACTCGATATTACTATAAATAGGTAAATGGCAATGTTCGAGTAAAACTATTCGATAACAAAAATTAATCAAATATTTTAACATGTGGTTTTTTTCTAGCCATGACCAAGCTGGAGAATACAAGTGTAAAATCTCACAAGTTGACAGAACCACAAACAAAGTGATATCTGTACTATTGACAGGACCAGTATTTGTAAATATACCTAGCACATCTATAGATATTTTACAGCAACCTCCCGCTGTTATAGAGATTAAAGAAAGTGAGGATCTTGTGATTACGTGTTTGGCAAACAGTTATCCTAAACCGCATTACCAATGGTTTCGAGATAACACAAAACTAGATGGAGAAACATCCAACAAATTACATGTAAGTGATACATAATGTCAATGATATCACAGAAAATATCGTAACACAAAAATTGATGACGTTCCAGATAAAACAATTCAATTCAAAACATGAAGGAAAATATTACTGTTACATAAGTAATAGCGTGAATGAAATAATTACTCAAAGAAGTCTTGTAATGGTAACGATCAGTCACGTATAGTCATTTTATATTCATTAATTTTCTCTAGTTACGTTAGGATTCCGAATAAAAAAAAAGTTACGCAATTACTTTTTCCTCAAAACCATTTTATAGTAATTGTGCGTACATATTTGTATCAACACAGATGGATCTTCCACGCGAAAAGGCAATTGCAAAAATAGCTCTGGTCATTGCAAATGACAATTACGAGAATCTTGAATGTCTCGAAACACCTATAAATGACGCGGCAAAAATTGGCAATCTGTTGAAAGAAATAGGTTTCAAAGTGATTTGCCTTGTGAACTTGTCAATTGAGCAAATGAGAAATGCTATAAAGATATTCAGTGAAGCTTTATCTGAAGGAGTTTATGGTAAATGATTAAAAACAATATTTTGTAAGTGTGTAGAAAAAAATTTATATATACATTTTATTAAAATTTATGTCAACGTAGGATTAGTTTATTATGCCGGACATGGGTTTAAAATGCAAGAAAGCTACATGCTCGCTATTGATGCACCGAAATTTTACTTAAGAAAAGACGCGATTTCTGAAAGCGAATTGCTAGCCGTATTGCTGCAGAATGACCCTGCTCTTTTAGTAACAATATTAGATATGTGTCAAACTGTACCACCAAAGTAAGAATTTCTAGATCTTCTCAATACATTGAAAATAATACAGTTTACTAAACATATTATGTTATTTCAGAGAATGCAATCCCGATATTCACAACGAAATACCAACAGTCAAGGAATATAAGAGTAGAAAAAATCTTCGGAATTTAGTGCAAGCATATTCCACATCTAGTCATCGTCCTAGTTACGAAAGAACCAACAGTAAATATGGATTGTACGCGATGCATCTGAGCAAATACATTACTAGAAATATCCCAGTTGCACAAGTATTTGCAGAAGTGGGAAAATGTAAGAATTTGAAGACGCGTGTGCAATGAGTGTTTCTATAACTCTTTGAAAAAATAATTTTGTTAATTTGTGTGCTTGCAGCGATAGATAAGTACCTAACAGGGCTAGAACGTAATCAAATTCCAATATTTGCTTTGACTATTACGAAACCTTTTCGTCTCACTGATGCTATTTACAAAAGTAATTATAAAACTTTAGATAAATGTTTTTTATACACACGCGTACACACAAATTATTTTAGATCTCACTTATAATTTAACGTGTGTCAATATATTATTTGCAGAAGAATTGCCACCTGCGCTAAATCGATTAAATAAATTAATAGCTTTTTCGTCAAACTCTTTTGAAATCAGCTTCAAACAAGCTGGTATTTCCGCGAAAGTTACAATCTCATTATTTATGGAACCGTATTTAAATGTACTCAAGGTTTTAATGTGCAACTTGGAGGGTTTGGAAACAAAGATTTTTCATTCCGTACCTACAAAACAAAATAACTTGTTCCAAGCGTCCAAACAGGAATATTGGATACATAATCCACAAATCTGTCAGGTATCTATATAAATATAACTTCATCATATTATATATATATGGCAAATATATACATTAGCACTAATGTTCTGATAATATAGGGACCTTTAATTGTATCCATATCAAAGGAAGGAACTCTTATTGGTGCAACATTCTTACATATAAATAATTATATTCCATTAATATTGGAAAGTATCAAGTGAAAATTAACATTATATGTATATAAATTTATTATGCGTATGCAAATTTACTATTTATTATATGAATTTATACTGTTTGATTGAATAAAATGATATTTTTATATACATCAATATACATGAAGTGGTAATATCTTGTTATTTTTTTAATACAAAATAGAAAATATTGTTATAGACTACATTAAATATAATGATATAATATATAATACAATTTTATAATATATTTATATATAATTGTATTATTATACATATCATAATTGTTCAGTAACAATAACAAATAATTGAACCAATTTACACACAATTTCATATTCTAAGCTATTTTGCAAATTTATTTATTCTACAGTATAATGATTGACAAATGTTGCAATCCAGGGACCTCCAACATTATTTACATACTTACGGGTAAATGTATAATTACACACTAAGTGATCTGGTGGCGTGGAGAAGTCTAGAAATCCTTTACTCATCAATTTCTCTTTCTTTTCAGCAAGACCCGGGATGTAGTGACAAGTAATTGTAACTTTAATGGAATGCTCGTCACCTATAAAACATATTGGTTATATAAATTTATTTGTTTGTCAAGAAAAAGATATTATATAAGTTATTCTAGTTTGTATATTTTTTCCAAAACTATAGTATAATAGATGTTATTATTACTTACCTACTGTAACATCAATATCAGACAAAACATAAAACAACATTTCATCTTCATTCACTGAAATTAACTGTCTTTGATTGGGACTGAGAGTTTCAATCTTGGCTTTTAAAATCTCTATTATATCATCTGCCACAAGGCCTTCTAAAGATTCATAGTTTTTATTTGTTAAAGCTTTGGATATTATTGTTGTCGCCTAGAAATGCAATGTGTTGATATTTAAACATATGTTTTTCACATCTCTAATCAATTACAAAAGATCATACATATCTGGCTCCTCTAAGAACTTCAACTACGTCAAATTCTTTGTCTATGTATGGACTGATCTTGAAGAGTGAAAAATAGACAAGCTTCAGTGGTGTTATGAGAGACGGTATATACATCGGAGCTCCGTCCACGAGCATAGGCAGAGTAACCTGCGATTCAGAATCCGGTTCGGTGCTGTAAATTCTACAGGCGGAGAAATTTGGCAGCGAAGTGGACAGCAGATTCTGCTCGCTACGATATCGCATCATTCTCGTCCTTATTCTGTTTTTATAAGCAACACACGTGACGATTCGTCGCAGATTGTACGGCACAGACTTTCTAATTGTTGGGACTAACATCGTAACTTGCATAAGCCGGTATCAAAATTTTCTGACGAGCATCAAAACCGAAACACAAGATGATCTAACCTATTTTCTCTGTTGAGGTCTGTCATGACTGCAACGATATTTGCAAAAATTTACACAACACTCATTACAACGCATTTTTATTGCTGATATTAAACTTATGTATATATCGCATACGATCCTCACAAAATCTCATTTATTTATTTTGTACTCTCAAGATATTTTATGCTTGGCGCCAAATGAGATGTTACATAAAAGTTACTGCATCCCTGTGTTTATTTCAATAGTTATGTATAGTGGTTTTTTAATATACCTAAGTGCTTTTTGGTTATTTCCGAGAAATAAAGTTTTTCTATTGGTTATCAAATGTTTTTCAAGTTGCGATTTCATGGAAACTACTATCCAAACATTCTTCTGTAAAGTTATTTCTCAAGCCCCTTGCACAATGGACGGAATAGCGATAGCGATAGAAATAACAAAAGTTTTTAAGAGTTTATATTTATAAATAAAGGTAGGAACAGCGGAATCTAACATACAAAACTACACATGTATCAATGCAGATCAGAAAATCGGAATAAGCAATAGCNATAAAATTTCCGACGAGTTGGAATTCTGTGTTAAAAACTGTGTTATTTCTATCGCTATCGTTATTCCTTTCATTGTGCAAGGGGCTTCATAGACATCCGTATCACAATTGTATTTATTCTATGGATATCGGCCACTATAACCTGACAATACTAGCCACTATAAAACCAAACCATAACCTGACGTAATTAAAAAAACAAAAACATTTCATCGAGTTTTAAAGACAAAACCAACGAAATATTTGTAATATCCAAGTAGAAACAGTTTCGAGAAGAAAAGTAGTTTAAAACGAATCAGGAGGGCAGATAAAATGGTTAGACGATTTGACGCATTAAAACTTGTGGGCGAGTGGTCAAAAAAATATGCGAATCTTCCGGATAGATATATCAGACGAGCTATGCGACAGGTAAATACACGATTGACAAGTTTATTTTTATTTAAAAATCCAAAGAACGTTTTGTAATATTCAATAGAACATACTGGTAATTCTCCCGATTGTTCCTTTATAGTTGTATAACACTTTTAACCATGTAACACTCTTCAAATTTTTATCATTTAATAATATAATTACAGATTTATTGGGAATCACCTCGTGGCAAGCCTAATTATTTACCAGTTACAGTTGAAAGAAAACAGTTTCGTTTCTCCATTTATCGCCCATGGACCAATGAGTTTCATCGTGATAATGCCCCTGGCCGCAAAAGCAAATTTATTCATGTCGAACCTATTAAAGACTGGAGTTTCTTCCGAGGTGACAGGGTATGTTTACCTTTGCACAGCATCGAATAATTAGCAATTATATTGCAATGAGAAGTAGCATTTGTTAATGTGCAACTGGATGTTTTGTAGCTCTATATAATTGCAGGTAGAAATCTTGATGGGAAAAGATAAAGGAAAACAAGGAATTGTAAAAGAGATTTATCAAGAAAGAAATTGGGTGATTGTTGACGGACTCAACACAAAGCTACAACGTGTTATGAAAGACAAAAACTTTCCTGGATTATGTATGCTAGTAGAACAACCCTTGTTAGTAACTACACAGGTTCAATTGGTTGACCCATCGGACATGTGAGTGTTACCTCTATTCAAGAAAACTTTCTTTTTCAAAGTAAAATGTGCATGTGTGTGAGAATATCTGTAGCGTAACTAGGTGAATTATCATAGGCGAGGAACGTCAATAGAATGGCGATACTTGGAAGATGGACAACGTGTACGTATTTCCACAAGAACTGGTAGGCTGATACCGATTCCGGTGTCCAGTGAGGAAACGAAGGATTACAAACTTCCCAGGATGTATGTGGAACAACCAAAAGATACTAAAAAAGAGGATATATTAAAAATAACTTTTACGGTATGCGTATTTTTTTCTCTAATATATTGAAATATCGAATATAAAATCGGACACTTTTTTATTGCATCGCGTAAAATATAAGATTTTATGGATAAGATGTACAATAAAATTTGTATGTATATATTGTTTTTATTTGCAGCCCAAGTTAAAAACTTTCGAAATGGATATTATGGATGAAATAGGTATCAAAGAAGATCGTGTTCCAAAGAAATATTATTGGTATTAATCATTGTTATATACAATTCATCGTTAATTAAGGTTTTTAATGTACAACTGTAGTATATAATAAATATATTATATAAGCAAACACACAAAACAAAGAAGTTAAAACACAGTCAGTGTGTTTCAGTTGTTACACGAGAACGCAAGACAATTTTTGCCTTATAATAATGCAAAATCGGACGCTGAATAAGGTTGAATTAAACTAAACCGGATTGATTTTTCGAGAATTTCTATGCCTTTAGCAAAAGCTACGTACCTATATATAGGAAGTACAATAAAAAAAAAAGAAGCATTTGTAACATTAGAGTAACAATACAAGCGAGTAACTCAATATTTTATCAACGACTTTGCATCAAATCATAATTATATAATAATGAATTTATATAGCAGTTCAATCGAGAGCTGTTTGTGTTTTACGCTAAATCATGTCACACACACATATCACAGCACGAATTTTTTAAATGCAAATCCCGCGGAACACTTCATATATTACGCGTTTAAATATTCCAAATACATCTTTATATTAATGACATAGTTAAATATATATTTATGACACACATTTCATTCAGCACCTCACGATCTACGATTCTCTGAGTACACAGTTGAGATTAAATTAACAATTGTTTAAACATTTTTCTTTAATTTACATTTTGATATATGTGAGAATATAAAAAGACGGACTATTTTGTTTCTCAGAGAAAATTTGAGGAAAATTTAAGATCTGTTTTTTTTTTCGCCGCACCATATGTTGCATTTAAAAAAACATTTTTTCGTTTCGCGCGTTCCAGACTTTTCGAAGACTCTGATAGACAGCGATTTGTCTTCGTTTCCTCCGCGCTAGAGCTGCGCCATGCTGCACTTCGTGATGACAGCGCAGTCTGGTGTGGCCACAGCGCAGAGGAAAAGAACAGATCTGCGATGCAAGTATGTTACAGTACGGTGTGCTTTTTTTTTTCTTGCTGTATTTCGTGACAAGTGCGTAACAAACGAAGAAGAAGCGTCTTAACGGAGCGTCTGAAGCGCGATGACCATCGGCCATCTCTCTTACTTCGTTCCGAACCGTCAAAAGCTGTCGAACTTGAACGTGAGTACTTTTCATATTCCGTCCTGTTATATTCTTAATTCTACGATTGATTTCGCGCGAAACATTGCGCGTCGCGCGCGTCCCGTTCAAATGCAATTTCGCGCGTTTAACAGTTTCGATTTTAAAATAATAAATCAACAGGAACCACTATAGTAACACGACATCGCGGAATGTCGATTAAGAAAAGTAGACAATCTACAGTCGTCAAGCTCATATATCCTAGCTACGTACGTACACAATATGCTATTTGCTTGTCGCAAAAACTTAATTCTTAACTTCGAAACTATTACTTGCACGGCCGGCACTATGTAAAAAGTCGTACACAAACGACAGATTGCTTTATTATTAATTAAATGATTAATCAATAAACAAGCCTATCTACTTTTTTCAGATATAATATTATCGATTCGTTGCGTGTATATGGCGTGCGTCATATCGAAACTCGTTTATCTCGTTGTTGAGATAATAATTTGAAAACGTTATTATTTTGTTGCTTTGTTTCTTCTCTGAAAAAAAGCAATCCCCTATATTCTCGTATAAATAAATGCGATAAATGATTTTACAATATTTTCTCGTTTTGCATTCACAAAACAACCCTTTTTGACGCCACGGTTGATTTATTCAAATTGGAAATCTGATTTTCTTTAGTTTTTTTTTTTTTTTTATCACATATTCTGTTTCTATGAAAAATGTTCAATTGCGTTCGATTGCAAAACTTTACATTAAAAAATATTCTATTTTACTGAGAAAAAAATATGTATGTATATTTGCATACAAGATTACGTATTTGCTAAAAATGTAATACGCATATCTATAAGGCGTATCCGATCAAAAGGCACAGAACGATAAATTACGAATGTATCTTTTTTTTCTCATTTTATTTTTCGCTAATTGATTATTTATCTGTCGATTTTTTACGACAGAACTATTCAAAACTAGTCTAGATGTTAAAAAAATGTTTTTGATTACTTTTCTAATTTGCCGAAATAACAATTTACTTCAATTGAGTAACGATATATCTTGTAACTTTCAGCGAGACACTGTAAATGTCTCTCATTTTGCGACAACGCAAACCCGCTGTGATCTGAGATTTATTGAAACAACAAAACATATATATGTATATATATATATATATATAACACACCTTACTACGTCTATTCAACAAATATCGATCGTAAAGCCAGTCCAGTCGCTTGCTTGGCACATTCCTGCATTCAGGCTTTTTTTTTTTATCGCGAATTTGTTGCTTCTTCACGATGATTTAGTGGCAGGATGCCTGACTAGGAGATTCACCTCACCGTTGTGTAGTTTCTTCATGAAAGACCACGCTTCTATTCTGGACATTCGTGTCACATCGTTGCCGTTCACTTCGAGCAGGAGATCACCGGCTTTTAACGCGCCCGTCTTCTCGGTAGCACTTCCTGTGCATTGGGAAAAAAGAATAAATGAACGACTACCGTCGCTAATACACTTGCAGATCTTATCTTTATTAATTTACTACGTTTATTATTGTCGACGTTTATTACACGATCGTACATATTGATTACGACGCAAAAAAAAAAATGTAACATGGGTGTACCTCTTCTATTAGATACTTTTATATACTTTACCGGTGAATATCTTCTTGATAATCAGAGGTCTGTCTCCGAGAGGGCTGTCCCTGCCTCCTTCCAGGCTAAATCCCAGATTGATCCCGTCCTTGTGAACCGCGACGACCGACGGCGGTCCCCAAGCTGTATCGTCCGCGTTCGTCTCCAACCCTGCGATCGAAAAAATTCTCTCTCATCTATCGCGAATTCTCTAAATTTCCGTCAGAGCGAAGATTTGAAAATTAGATTTTATTACCTTCGACAATGGTTTCGACGCTCGCGGTTCGCGACCTCAGCCTGCAGCCCTCGTCCGCCGTTCTGGCGCGCGACACCACCAGCACAACCTCCGATCTCGGTTGCTTCAACACCGCCATGCTCTCCCTGTGCGTGAGACCGCGCGTGCTGCGACCGTTTATGCTGAGCACCCGGTCTCCACGCTGTACCCGGCCGTCCTTGTCGGCGACCGAGTGCGACAGCACTCGGTGAACCGTGATCTCCTTCACCTCGCAGTCCGCGCCGCCCGCCAGCGTGATGCCGACGCTGCCGGTCGGGTTCTCCTTGTGCAGCAAAGCGACTATGACGTCGTGAGCTCCACGCGTGTCCTCCAAACTCGCCTCCTCCACCAACTGCGCCAGTTCCTGCTGCGAGATCAGACTGGTACTGCTCGCTAGCGAGCTGATGCTGCCGAATTGCTCGCCGTAGCAATTTCTCTCGGTGTCCGTTTCCGTGCTGGTGTTCTCGTCCACGCTGCTGTCGAGACTCGGAAATCGGTTGTGAGCGGCGCCGCCGCCAACGATGACGTTATGATGCGAATTATTTTGCGCCGGACTGTTGTCCACCTTCTCCAGGGCCCTCTTCATGTCCGTGACGCTGGCGCTACGTCGATTCAGTCCGCGCGACGTCGGAATTTTCGATAGAGTCGCGCTTTTCGTTCTCTCAACGTTCTCCAACATCTCGTCGCCGCTGTCGACGAGCTTGGTCTTTCCCAAAGTCGGTATTTTCGAAACAAACGGCCTGTCTTCCGACCAGGACTCGTTCGACGTGGCGGAACCCCGTCTGCCGTATCGATTCTCTCTCGAATCCCAAGTAGATTTCACCGACGAGCTCGTCGCGCTGATCTTCTCGATCTTCGGTTCCATACTTTGCGCACGGAGCAACTTAGAATCGGATTTAGCTCCCAGAATGTCCTCCAAGCTCATTTGACTCTTCGATCTGCCGAAAGTTCCTTCGTCGACGTGTATGGCCGATCTGGACCGGCTCTTGGTCGTCAAGATAGTCAACAAATCGTTTTGCTCTTCCGTCGTGTTTTTTCTGGGAGTCGAACTCTGCGCTCGGTTCTGCGGCTTCGAGATTTCCGTCGCGGCTGATTTTCTTTCTCCGGATGTTATCGCGTTTCGCGGAGCCAACAAACTGCCGTTCGCGGTATTAACGGCTTCGTCGAACACGGAACCACGACCGCCTCTTGTCGCGTGAATCGTAGACGACGTTTCCAGAGCAACGATGGGCGAACGTTTGTTGTATTTGTTGGCGGACTTTTCCTCCGCGACCCGCGCCAGATTCTTCGCCTCCGCTCGCACCCACATCTTCAGATCGTTTGACGGCTCCAGCATCTCGGATTTGGGCGGTCTGACCGCCGGCGGGAGCGCGCTTCTTTTAGGCGGCAGCTTAGGTTCCTCCCCCTTCTTTCGAAACGACTCCTCATTCTCCGCGAAAGGATCCGCGACTTCTATGTAAGCCACCTTGATCTCCTGTTTGCTCGTGGGATCACTACCGGGGTTATTGACTATCTGCTGAATGGCGCCGTTCTCAATAGCTGCCGCGGCGTCGTCATTATCCGGGAACTTGCGTTGAATCAACGGCGACCCGTTCAGATCCCGACCGCTTCGACATCTCGCGCTCGCCAGGATGTTCTTTCGATTGATCGCTTCCACGCTTTGCGGCTTCAGCACTCTTCGCGATAAAGACTCGGCGCTGGCTTGGGATCCCGAAGTCAGCGTTGAGGACGTGCTGCAATTTGTGTCGGTGCTGTTCGATCGTCTCAGCTGTCTCTGGGGTATCTGCGAGTTCCTCGCGATCATCTCGTTCGGCTGCGGCGAGCGCGGATCGGAACTGCTGCTGCTGGACGAGGATCGCTCGGCCAAGTACGTTCGTTCCCCGAGGATGCCGATCCGGGTGCCGAACTGCTCCTTGTCGACGGAGGATTCTCTGACGGCTCCTATGATCGAAGTTCTCGTCAAACTGTCCGCGATCAGAGGCCGACGTTGGTAGTTCAGTTCCGTAGACACGTACGATCTCTCGGACGAGATGGTGGATCTCTCCGACGGTACCGGCGACATTGGCGGACTGAAGCCGCGAGAGATGCTACTCTGAGAGCTGCTCACAGCCGAGTCGTTGTCGGAATCGTCGTAGTCTAAACGGGCTTTGTTTCTCTGCATCATTCGCGGTCTGGCGCGCGAACCGTCGGGCGAGCTGGTCGTCGACGCGAACTCGAAGCTGTAGTCGCTTCTCGTCGGGCTGCAGATGCTCTCCAGACTTTTCGGCGGTTCCGATGACGTGGGTGTTGGTTGGTTCTTGATCAAGGTGTTGCCGTTTATCGACGAGCTCGTTGTCCCGGAAGTGCTGTAAACCGTGAGGGATTTTCTCTTGAAAGCCGGGGAATATTTCGGATGTATCTGAGGCGCTGGCATCTTGAAGGACGTTGTCGCCTTCAAGGGCTGGCTCGCCGTGCTGGCGTTGCTGGCCAAGGAACTTTGAGATCCCCATTTGTCCTGAATATTTGCTTTCGATATCTGGAAGAAAACAAGAAACGGGGTTGTGTGACACGACGTGTGTCTTAATGTAGTACAATTTAAACATATTTGGTCATTAAGTATAAAACTTGACAAATATATATATAATATGTAATGTATATAGTTTTTTTATATTTAATGGCCCAACATTTTAGTTATGTTCTTATTAAAAAAAAAAAGTTTATACACACAAGAGTAAAATAAAATATCGTTCTACATTCTCTATGTTCACATGTGTTTGAGCTGACGTCTCACCTGATGCAACGGTATCAAATCTCGCGACTTAATTTCCGGCAAATCGACGATGGGCTGATCGATCGACACGGCGTCCTTTTCCGGAATGACCAAACCGCGCAGTTTCGATATCGATCTTCGTCTCTGCTCGATCAACTGATTCAGACTGCTTCTTCTCGCGTCCTCGCCGGGCCGTCTGAAGGTTGACGCCAACGAATTCGTTCTCGTGATTTGCGAATTGCCGATCGAATCTGTCAGAGAGTCTCGATCCTGCGCGTAGATCGTCGATCCCGAAAAACTGGTGGCTCGCGCCAACGAAGACGGACTCATTTCCAAGCTCTTCACGGAGCTGCCGGAATTGTTACTCGCGACGGAACTTTTCGCGACGTTTGGATATGCGATATTTTGCAATTTGTCAACGACGTTCGCGCAAGTGTAGCTCTTCGAGAAGATCGTTTGCTTGTCGTATGAAGGCGACAACGGAGTGGACGTGATTTTCGGCGGTACGATTGGCAGCGTCTTCGGAACACGCGGGGTCTGCGCGATCGGACTCGGGAGTGCTGGCTGACCGGTTTGGGACAAGCCCGGCGTTCTCGGACTGTGCTTCGTCGCGACTCTGCTCGAATCGGTGAGATCGAAGGAGCTCTGCGTCCTGTCGGCGAGGAAGGACGGCCGCTCCTTCTGTCCGTTGCTCTTCTCGTTGCAGCAAACGTCCTCGGAAGACTTGTACTTAGAGAGGCGCTTGTTGCCGTTGTTCGCGGCCGCCACGGCTGTTATGGGGTTCGGGAATAACGGCGCGTCCAGATTGCTTTGCGACGAAAACATGGCGATTTTGTCTCGCACGGAGCGCTCGGACTTGTCGTCCTGTCTCCAGAGATCGCCGTTTAGCGAAAACTTTCTCTGCGGCGATTCCGTCGTAGGAACGTTTCTGGCGTGCAAAATCGTTTGATCCATCTTGGGCGGACCTGAGCGATAAGAACATACTTTTTTTTTTTGCGAGAGAGAATATTGCGTGTTTCTAAAAGTTCGAGAAAGCGATAACAAAATATATCGAGATCGCTTTAAAAGAAGAGAGAAATCAATTTCAGAAGATATTGACTTGTACGTATGTTAATTTGTATGAAGAAATATAATGCTTTTTTTTTTTTTTAATTACATGTTCAGCCGACATGTCAGCTCGCCGCGCTTTTTTTTCTTCGAGAAAAAAATAAATAAATGGGGACAGAGAGAGAGAGAGAAAGAGAAAGAGAGCGGCTGTTCGAAGCTAAATGAGCGTGTTTAATTCGACGTTAAATAAGTACCTGTCAATGGCAGAGGCGGCGGGGCCTCAATAGGCGTGTCCTTTTCCACGTGGCTTGGCACTTCTTCGATCGTTGCCACGTCCTTGTGATGATATCCGGCGATTTCCATCTTTTTCTCGCTCGTCACTAGATTGCTGTTGGTCGTCGGACAGGTATAGAGAGAACCTTCCGCGACGACGGAAGCGTTTTTCTTCGCGATATCGTCCGCGGTGTGATACGACGGTTTTCTATCTTCGTTCGGAGAAACCTCCGGGGTGATGGTAACGTCCTGACGCGCGTTATCCGCACTGGTAACCTTGCCTATCTCCGACCGGACGTTCTCCATATTCGTCAGAGCGACTTTGTTTATGTCCTGTCTCACGTTTTCAGCGGCTGTCAACGTCATCTTGCTATCGGGCAGAATAATGCTCCTCGAATCGACAACGTCGCTGTCGTTCGCGAGCATCTTGAAAGTCTCGCCGGCGCGGAACGACTCGGTCTCGTTGCACAATCCGCTGCCGTTCGTGGTTATCGTCGCCGTCCTTGCAGTCGCGGCGATGTATCTGTACGGCGGCTGGTTACTGTTGTTGCTGAATTCTTGGTAAGCCGCTGGAAATTCGTCCCCGTCCGGGGGCAGGCGTTGACCGCCTCCGCAGTTCTCCATCTTACCATTTACCGTGTCTGCAACAGCAGATTTTTTTTTTCCTCGAGAACACGTTCGATACACGACGAATAACGAGATTCGAATTTTTCGTGTATATTGTAATGACAAAGTATTTTGATAAAATAGTTTGTCATTACAATAAATACATGTTCTGTTACATATATTTACATCTATTTGCATTACAATAGAAGTTTTTTCAAGTGTATTTCTTTCTTTTGAAACAAAAATCGAAGATAACGAAAATATGTATGAATACTGTAAGCATTACGCATTTGACAATATATCGTACAAACTGTCTTCTTGATAAGGTAACAAATTCAAGGTGAGACAAGTTGGCTTTTGTACCGATGGAATTCGAATAGTTCTATCTTCGTGACTCACAATTAGCCAAATGCCATAGCCATAGATCATACGTGGATTTGACACATACGCGAGAGAGAGAGAGAAAATATTTTGCTATTGCTACGCGTGACGAATAAAAAGAAATTAATGTCGCTATAAATTTCAGTTGTTTTTTATGTGACTTTTTAATACTTTTCTACATCGCGAAATAATAAAACTGACGATCGAAAGTTTCATTCTTTCGATATTAATCAAATACGTGTAAATAATAGACCGCGCGCAGAGCTAATTTTGCATCATCTGTGCCACGCGTTAAAGAATTTTTGTTCGGGAAGGAAGTGCATCGACAAGGATATTTGCACCATTAAAATATAGCGATCGGACACACACAGCTCGAATGATTCATCGCGCACATATCGACACATTACACATCGCAGTGAGTACATTGTTGTTTGAAAAATGACATCATCGATTTTTCACGTGTTTCTTAGCTTTGCGACGAGTCAATCGCAAAAATTTAGTCTCACGTTAACGCACATATGTACGCACATCTCAAGAATGTTTTAGTCATAAGTACACTTCCAGAAATTTTTTAATCTCTCGAGTGTCACGCAAAATGTAGATTTGACAGAGATTCTTTTCTGCGACAGCAATTAAACATTAGTCTCGTTCGCCCAATAATAATAGGATTTAGAAACTCCGAAAGTGTTCCGGACGGCACGGGTTAGCGGGACTTCAAGGATTTCTACATTCTCTGTGATAAAACGTTTGCGCGTACGTACGCGATATCTATTCTAAGCGGCGGCATTTAAATCGAGCTACGACGTAATTTTTTAACCGCGTGACCGTGCGGAACGTGATTATCGAAATGCACTAGACTTTTAAATTTCCGCGTTACGCGCGAATGCAGAAATGCGCTTACGAAATTCGTTAAAATATATATGCGTATATTATGTCTCGCGTAAGTTGCAAATCATCGGTGGTTGTTTGACTGCAAATGTCGAACGCCCCGTGCGCGGCTTTAATTCACAGTTAATAAAACGCGCGCCGCGCCAATTCCTGATTAACATTCCTGGCATAGCGGCGAAGCGATGTAACTAATCACCGTATACACACGTATTGTATACATACGTATGCGCACGTGCAAACAGATGCGCAACTTTCGCGCTGCCCGATGACGGTTTTCGATGCACGCACGTATATGTCCAGACGATCGGACCATATTTGTACCGGTATCAGGGACAACCGCGCGTCGTTGTCGTCGTCGTAAATGCGTGCAAGTACACGTTACATTCCGCTCTTGTATACTTGCGGTTCATACGCGCAAGTGTATCGTGCTTTGTCGCACAGGCTGCAATCGACACAAAAAAAAATAAATAATATATAAATAAATAAAATATTTCAGTAAAAAAAATTGTAGATTTTCGCGCGAGAGTTGCAAACAATATTCGCGATTTAAATATCGCGAGAATTATTTGATATGGATTTTTCGCCGAGTAACATTGAGCTTGATTAAATTGAAAGATTAAAAAAAAAAAAAAAATTCGCGTTGAAATAAAACTTGCGCGTCGACTTCTGCATATTGTTTCGAGATAATAAAAGTGTAATAGAAAACGAGACGTCGGCCCCGCGCGTTCATTTCCACCTGTGCCTGACAAATATTTAACCACGAACTTCTGGCAATAATTACCACGTTATCATTATATTATTATCAGGCATTGTCGGGCACAATGGCGGAATGTAAATTAAGAGTTCATCTTCGATCTTTATCTTATCTTTTTTTTTTTTGAACGTGTTATTTTGTTGAGAAAGGAGAATTATCGCTCGGGGACTAATTAAAAAATTAAGCATTTAAAACAATTTTAACTACATACGTTGCGATTAATATATCAATAACTCGTGTATCTTGAAAAAGTAGTGTGTACCTGATTGTGCGGACTTCACAAAGACCTGTGGTTCGTGCCGCGCGATCACTTTGCGATCATTAAGCTGGCGGGCAATTAATTTTAATCGTCGAAAAGCGCATAACTCAACTCGCGATTATGGCAAACTTTCACGTGGTAGAAGTTCATCGCGCGAGGTTTGGCCTCGGTACACAGAAACCGATTCTCAGAAAAGAACGTTGATGTATCGCAGCCGAGATGAAGAAGGAAAACAACGGGAGAGAGCCAGCCAGGGAGAGTACGTACCGGCAAGAAGACTGTCGTGAGACTGGGCGACATTGCCTGTCGAGGCCAGCTTCCGCGGTTAGCACCGAGCGCGCTTTCGTGCGCACCGGGAGAAGGGGACTCGCATTCGCGTCTGCCACGCTTTTAGCTTTACAGCTCGGAATTACGTTCTTTGCGGGTATTAAACCGTGTACGGAAAAAAAAAAAAAAAGAAACCATGTAATTGCGTTTCGTTTTCCATCCTCGATTCCTCGGTGCGTTCGCGTTTTTCCTTTCTGGAAACGAACGCTCCGCAAAATCCGGTGTTCGAATAATATCTCCATTCGACTGACGATGTTACATCCGCGTGTTCGACATATCGACATAAAAATATACAGCACAACGCAGTTTGAGAACATTTTCTATAGATTTTATCTGACAATTAATTGTTTTTTTTTTTTTACGATGTCTCGGACATCGCTTTGCGGTAATAACCACGTTTTTGAACGTTTGAAGTTCATTTCCAATCAGTCGGATAATTGCAAAATAAATAACAAATCTACGTCAAAGACATGTCCGTCGTGAAGTAGAGACCGCACGGACAGTTTCTTTCGCGGAACGCGTCTCTCCGGTGCGTCCAGTTCGCGAATGTCGCGCTGCCAAGTTACGTGAGTCGATTAATCCCGCGGAATGTGTCGACGAAACGAAACGTTTTGCTCGTCGGGGAGTAGTCGCGTAGGATGCGAAGCCGGAAGAATCTATGCAGGACTCTCGGACAGTACCGCTATGCGATGTAATCTCGGTCTCAAGACGAGCCGACGATTTTGTCGTGCCACCGAGTTACGTCGTCTCGTAAGAAATCCGTGGGCGACGATGTGATTCACCGATGGAGAGGGAAACGTACGTCGACTACGCACACACACGTGGAAATTGGATTAAACGGTTGAAAATTAGAAATTGACAATTCTCTCCTTTGAGTGTTATTTCAGAGACAAATACGGAGACGCACGTGCAAACCGCGCGAAAATATTTTTAATTCTGTTTTTCAACAATACAAAATATCTCTCGCGAGAAATATTCTCCGTTGAAATATTATTAACACACATTTGAAACAGGCTTGAGAATTCTTGACACAAACGCGTCGTACGTACGGCGGTGTGGATGGTCGAGCGATGTTCAAGGATGCATTCAAAGCCATTTTGTCACGACTAAGGTAATTCTGATTATGCATGCTTATATGTATCGCAACGTTATAATACACAGAAAGGTATATGATAATAGCGGGTGACTCCATACAAATCGCGGCCATGGAATTGCGTCATGTAGTTTCTGAACGCGAGATTAAAAACGTGTCGCAATCTCCGGCCGGCTTTCTTTGTCGATCGTCGTTTTTGAAAAGAAAGAAGGCAAGGACCCCCGACGAAATCAATGTCCCGCCGTCACTAAAAGGCCACACTTTGCCCTTGGCTCGAAGATTCGAATCACATATTGCGTCAATGTTCGCTATAAAACCTGTAGAGCGTTTTATTGTTATTTTTTTTTTTTTTTTTTTTTTTTTTTATCGGAGAATGTATTTTTTATTGTGTAACTTGGACACGTCGAAGAGTTGTCTTTATGTCGAGTTCGCAAAATCCGTAGGAGCGACCTCGCAACGACCTTCGCAATTGTTTCGGGAAACATAATGGTTTTCGCTACTTCATCTCCCGTTGAGATCGATTTGATCGGCGTTCAGTGACCGCAAAAATTGTTCAAGGAACAACTTACGCGAATAACGACCGCGCAAATATTAGATAACAATCCGTATCGAACGACCGTGTCGCGTAAACGTCAAAGTCCGATAAAGAGAGTCCGCGGTTGTTGTGTATTTCGCGAAATCCGACGCGTTCCGCGATAATCTCACATCCCGATTTTGCGCGTTACATCATCGCGCGCTTCCATCGCACCTTCGTTCTCTCTCACCTTTTTTTTTTTTTTTCCGCGATATATTCCGCGGACGACACCGCGCGCGAATGGTTTGAGAGATCTGAAAAGAAGACTCGCGTTAACGTCGTGTCGACGCACGGACCATCGAATCCATTTGTCACGTTTAACTTCTTGACATTACCGCGCGCAAAAGCGAGAAGTCGCATCGACCGAAGATTCACTTAAAGCCCGCCGAGAGAGCGGCGCGGATTAATTCCCACATTTCGTGTGGGGACATACCGAAACGTTCTTACTCGCTTAAGCCTCTTATCGAAAGCATGAGAAATCGACCGGAATTTCGAGAGTGTCCCTTTCTCATTAGATCCGAAGATAAAATGTCTCTTACCTCTTTCTCTCTCTTCCAGTGAATTACAGTTAAAAACACAACATTCGATCGTGTATATTTTCGCCGTTATAGCAGCCGGCCCGACGTTTCGTGGGGCAGAAGTGAAATTTTACATCGCGGAAGTTTCCCGGCATCGCGCGCGATTAAAATCTATCCCGCGATAGGAATCGCGAGTTCTCTCTCGACGAATTCTCTTGACGGAAGAGTGTGTGTGTGTGTGTGTGTGTGTACAACCGAAGAGTCACCGACCATAAAATCTCGACACGGTGCGCCGGCTGGTGCTCGCGTGCAATTTCGCGAGAGAATTTGACACGGCGTGAGCGAGCGGCCGGCAGAGTGCATTTTTGCCACCGTGTCCGGCTAGACAGCAACCGCGAATATTTCCCTGTTCAGAAATAAGATTCCAGAATGCGGAAACATCGGCATTAAACGTGGCGGCGGCGGCGGCCCTGCGATGTGTGTACGTGCTTCGAGAGGCCGATGACGCGCGCGCTTACCGTCGCCCCGACCCTCTTCGAGCTCGTGCCTTCGTGGGAGCGGATTGTAAAACGAGTAGGAAACGAAGAATCACTCGCGCGCAAGAATCTTATCCAATTAATTTTTTTTTTTTTTTTTCGATTAGAAAAAAGAAAGAAAAGTCGATAACAGTTGTTCGCCGCGTGTATTCGCGGAAACGAGTCGAGACGAGAAATGAAACGATGTTTTTCTTTTATCGTCTCTTCGCGAGAGTTTCGATCGACCTTTATTGCGATGTACATATTTTTCGTCACTTATTATCTTAAAGACAGAAAACGCTTCGCGCGCGCGCGCACAGAGAATTTCATCGACTGTACTCGACGGTCTGAAGAACTCGTGACGTTTGGGCGGACGATTTGCACGATCGATCGCGCGGCATCGCGCCCGTTCGCTGTTTCACGAGATTTACAACGTGAGGAGAGGTGTTCGTTACTCCGGCGGAGTTGCCGGTTTCCCGAGAGCGAGATCGTGACACGTCGCCGGGAGGATCTCAATGTGAAGTTCGCAACACGATCGAGGGCGAATTCTTGCGGACTTTCACCGCGATCGAAGGACGGGGGAGAGGAGGAGGATCGGCGTAAACCGCAATCGACGACGCTCGCTCGCGGCTTAAAACGAGCGCTCTAGCTATTGTTGCCATCGAAAATAGATATTGGCCGAACCGCGCGCGCGCGCGCGCTGACCGATACACGTCGTGTCCGCCTGACATTTTCGATTCATTTCTCCCTGAAGGAGTGACACAATGCCGTGTATCCCCCCGGAATTATCGTTATTCCGCGATGAATGCGCGATCTACGATTGGTTGCACATAGACGCAACAACGTGAAATACACCGTCGAAATCGTCGAGTCATACCTTAATGTCTCCGTGATAAGATCGTTCGGGAGAGCAATACACGCGGTCGATCTTACAACAAGTTTTTGTCTACGTCGCGCGCGTATTGTTCGGCGTTCGTGCGGAAACATTCGAAATTTCATAATTTCAGATCTGGCGCGCGCGCGCACACACACACACACACACACCAGACTTCGGAAACCCACTAGAAATATCCTTGTGGCAATCTTCTCACCTTTGTTCAGATTCTTGCTTTCTTCCCCTTTCGTGTATTCCGCAGTCTCGCTCACGCGCTCTGCTTCGTCATCTCGCGCTGTAACAAATGCGTGCACTTTTATTTGTTGCACACACATACAGTGTCCGGTAGGTACATTATCAACCTTTTAAGCGTGGCGTGTGAGCGTTTGCCCCGCGCACGATGCGGAAACTCGTAGCTTATAGGTACGTAGGAGAAAAAAAAATCGCGCTCGCTGCTCGTATTCGCGCCGATGTTACATAAGCGAGAGAAAAACGAGAGACCTGACTGTGAGGTAAAGCAATGCAATTAATATGTGTATCATTTGCCGATACGCTCGATTAGATTCATGTGGGACACCGTGCAAAACCGTGCTCTCTTACATAAATGTATTTGCGGACCGTGTGTTGCGACCGGCGCTGCGGCGCGGCGCTCTGTATTACGGATGACATTTCAATTAAGAAAAGTTAACGGCGAGCGCGGCGTGGAGAAACTCGTACGAGGAAACAAGAAAGAGACGCGCACAAAGAGGCCACTGATAATGAATCGAGGTAATGGTTCGCCCATTGGTACACAGCCACAGCTGCACCGTTGACTCCAGTTGACCCGCTCCTATTAAACATCAGATACGTATATACACCGGACTGTGATGTGTGCATCACGCGCAAAGTCACAACAAAATCTCTCTTTTTTTTTTTTCTGCGCGTTCAAGAAACTTTCGAAGACTCTTGCGAGCGAAACCGAAGTTACGCAATGAGAAAATTTATAAAATACAGAATGCTAAAAAAACAAAGTTAACACACGTTGTTGATATAAATTGTTTACACACGAGTTAATAATTTTTATTAATACAAATTCTTTATATATGAGTTATTATATTTTTTTGAAACACCTTGTGCATATGAAAAATTTCTCATTTCCAAAAGAATTTCTGGACGAAGAATGATCGATCGAGTTAATCGAATACATAGGGATTAGAGAAGGTTTTTGCAAATTATACACATTGTGCCCAAGGACACGCACGCCGCATTCTTCGATGATGAGTAGCACCGCCGAAGATTAGCCACGTGATCTTGTTGGTTGTTTCAATTCAACTTCTCGCGCGATTATGAAATAAATAACGCGATTGATTGATTTTTCTTTCGCTTGAGCGAGTCTGACGCGTACGATTCGCTCGAATCTTCTTTGTCGCGAGTTCATACGTTGTCGTAAAAGACGACGCGCGAATATAGAAATACGCGCGCTTGTTACATAAGCACCCGTGTAAAAAAAACGTTAAAGATAAAAACAATTCGTGACACAGATACGTGTGATTCAAACGTTTTAAACACTTTTGCAATTGAAATGTAAGTTTACGCGCGATCTCTCTGAGAATTATTCAATCGTACATGTGGGTATTTCCTAATATTTAAACAAATGAATGAAACAGCCCAATTCTCACAATGGTCAGTTATTTTCTGAGTTTGCTAAAAAAAAAAAAAAAAAAAAATTCAGAAAGGAAGAGAGCGAGAGAAAGAGAATAAAAAGAAGAAGAAGAAGACAGGAGCGTACAAAGTTCAGCGAGCCTAAGAAAGGCAGTTGCACGGAAAGCGAGCGAGTAAAAGAGAGAGAAAGAGAGAGACGGAAGAAGGGAAGGAAGACGGAGAAAAAGAGGGAGAGACCGAGAGCTGCGAGGAGTCGAAAGAGAGAAAAGGGAGCAACGAAAAAGAAGAGTGGTTCTCCTCTTTGGTCCGAGAGGTTGGGAGCGGGTGGCCTTGAGCAGGTCATCACCTCCGGCTGCGGTGGTGATGTTGCCTGCGCTGGACCATCTTAACTTCTTCTTCTTCGTCTTCTTCTTCTTACTCCTCGACCGTCCACCTCTCTTCCACTCGTCTCTCCCTCGCTAACCTCTTCCTCCTTTCTTCTCCTGTTGTACCTCACGCTCATCTTTCACTCCATCCTCGCTCTTTCTCTTTTCCTTACGTCTTGTCCGGCTCGGCAGAGTTACTTTGTCACTCTTGTCTTCCTCTCTCTCTATCTATCTCCTTTTCTTTCCTTCTCCCGTCTTTAGACGCTCTTTACACTTTCCTAAAGGCCTTCGCTCGGCCACAGAAACAATCTGTTCGTGCTAACTCTTCTCGAAGCGAGCGCAGCGGTGGAAGACGAGCCAACATCGAGGTATATACCGAGAAGCCAAGGGCCAGTCGTACCAAGAAAAGCCTTAATCTTTTTCTTTGACTTCGAAAGTATGTTCGGGGGCCATTGTACACAATTCGATTTGTCGAAAAAAATTACACCTTTTTTTTTTTACAAAGGACAAAAACCTAACCCAACAAAGCAAGAGAGTTCGTTTTTCACGTTTCTTCAAAATGTGTTTCCCCTAAACTGAATATATTTATGCAACATGTTTGAAATAGAGAGACGTTACACAAACGCGATCTTGTCTCTGCCTTTTATCATCGCACTCTGCAACATCTTGTACGGAAAAAAAAAAAAACAAAGAAGACGTAAATTATTGGGTTGCTATTAAGCTCGAGCTTTCATGTCGTTTCCGAGCTCGAGAAGAAAGATCACGCAAATTGTGTTTGACAAACTGGATCGCCAGGTAGTTACCGCCTTCTCGCGAGCGTAATGATCGGCGCGTGGCTCACGTGAGGCTCGCAACTAAACGCTATACGAGCATTGCGTTCGGTATATTATACATATTATATGTATATATATATATATATATATATGTATATATGTACATATTATATATATATATATATATATATATATGTATATATATATATATTATATGTATATATATGCGAGTTTACAACGCCAGATCGCGAACTGGAAACGGGGATATTATTTCCAGCGACCGATGACAACAACTCGAATGAAGTTGTGTTATCCGCGCGGCGGATTTTCCGACAACGTGTTTTCACGCGTCTCATAACCGCGACGGTGATCGAGAAGCGTGCGCGCCGCAAGGATCGTGTTATTTTCTTCGTAGGTGCAACATTCCGACATTCGCTTCTCACGCTCGTCGAAAGTGCAGTCGGCAACGCCGTGAGTTGCCCGAGCCGCCGCAAATTGCCGGGCGTGACGAGGATTTCTTATAGTTTCCGAGGGAAAGGATCACGCAAATTGGATTTGACACAGCGGATCGGAGACCTCACCTCCTCCCTCCTCCCTCTTTCCTTACGATGTAATGATTGGCGCGTGGCCGCGCGGCGCACGCACATGCGACCAAACGCAAATACCGCGATTACGCGCGATAACGTTCCACACGCAGGCAAAAAAGTGAAATCGCCGGGAGCAAGACTTTGAAAAAAAAAAAAAAAATAATAAAAATAATAACAACGCTGCATAATCGATGTGAAAGCGCGTTAAACTTTGCTGTGTCATAATTAATTAGTTGAAAACCAGTTAATAGAAAATTCTTCATCTAAATGCGAAAAATTAATTCGCGTCTGTCTTCCTGCTTTTGTACGCGAGTAGGGTATACGCTTCTTTGTTCCCTCTCGCGTATAAAATATAATCGCTCATTACGACGAGATAGATTTTCCGATTACGGTCGCTGATAGAAAGGAAATTAAATGGGAACGAAAGAAAGGTGCGAAAAATGCGAAATGATGTTGCAAATCTTGCGCGGAGGCGACGTCCGACGCGGTGTCCGATTACATCGCGGCGTTTCGGCGATGCGCCGAACCGCGCTGAGGACCGGATCGTCGAAGTCGGTGTCCGGACTTAAGTGAATGAGGAAGATAAACATAATAATTACGGCAAATTGAGGCCTGCCACTGAAAACGGCATTGTGGCGAGCGGAGAGGAGGCGAGAGAAAGAAGCGGGGCCGAGTGCGCGCGGCGGGTACATCAGTGAAATAAGCGTGTTTAGCGTGGTTGGCGTGCCGGCGTTAGCGTGTGGGGGTGAACTGACGAGAATATCGGTAAGAAAAAAATAAATTATTAGAAATAACAGACCAATTTTCACTCCTCAATTTTCATTGCCTGAAGAGAAACTTTGCGGGAATTTCGAGAATTTTCTGTTGGAATTTTTTAATTTATACAAAAAAAAACAAATTACATAAATAAAAAGAAACGCAGATAAAAGAGAAATATGTAAATGTTTTGGTTTTGCGGCGCTCTGACGAGATGTAAGAAAAAAATGTGACGTAAAACTGAGTACAGTATTTATTTCTTCGACGTGGGCTTTGGTGTAATTTGATTTTGCGATACGGAATCACAATAAGAATACAGTCAGTTGTGTGTATCGTTCGTAACACATGCTCGACCGGAAGTGCGATATTCGCCGCGTGGGTCGGTACTCCCAGACGATGCTATAAATTGCTCTAATCTCGCGAGCAGTAATAGGCGTATCCACTCTCGCGACGTGACGGCGAGGTGGGAAGTAGCGTTGCATACGGCAAAAGGACGTGCTCGGTACGCTTATCGACGCTTCTACCTTCTTCACAGGCAAGTATCGTACCGTCACACACGTAAGTTTTATCTCATTCAGATATTTTACGAGTTGCGTATTTGTTTTTCTACAGAAAAGAATAAATGTTTAAATAATTAATCGATTAATTATCTTCAGAGAATGTTTTTATCAAAACGTCCGCAAACTTTTAATCTTCATTGTGTTTATTTTTCGTTTTCAAAACATACTTTTTCGAAGTCTTTTCCCGAATTATCTCTGATTGTCTTTCCAATAGAAGCGTGTCTTAGAAAAAATGTTCCCACGAGACACTCCGAAAGTTTGCTCTTCGGCCGTGTTCGTCTTTTTATATTTTTTCTTCGAGAAATACCCTCGGGCGAGGGACTCTATTTCTGGATCGCCGGTCGTAATTTGCATCGCGTCTGAAGGCGTTACAACGAATATAAAGCGATCGAAGGGTGCATCGATTTCGATTAAGTAACGACCTCGACCTAGTGAATTGTGCGCGTGTTGTGTTGCGTTCGCAGAGAATTCAGCCCCGCGGCTGCGATCCGGAGCGATTCTCTCGCGTACATGCGCGCGGCAATGAAGTTTTGCTCTCCGGTGATCGCGCGCGTCCGTAGGCCGGTTTCCCAACGCCTCGGGCGATTCGCGTGCTTTTTCAAGACCTCTTGAA